GGCAAGGATGAGTTTGCAGAGAAAGGTATCACTGAATGCCACAAAGCTTCAGTTGTGTTAAGGTTAGTAATCTTAGAGGAGCTTCCAGCAGCCCCTGGCTCCCAGATGATGGTGGTCCAAGGCAGTGAGAGTCCCAAGAGCCTGTTGCTGTGCGAAATCTCAGAGAAGTTAAAGCAGCGGGAGCAGAGCTGCTAAGGCTGGAACAACTGAGGAAGTGGCACCTTAGTACACACCAGTTACCTGGGAATCCCAGGATGGGAGCAGAGGGAGTTTGCTGTGGTGGCTTTCACAAGCTGATCTGTGATTCAGGGCTGGTTGAGTGTGTGAGCATTGGGCTATAACCATTCCCTAAGTTACTGAGAGGAAATCTATAATACGAGCCATACTTGGCTTCCCGCCGTGCTTTCATGATGCAGGCTGCACTGGGGACTTGCTGTGCTTAAGGTGATATGAATTGGATCCAAGCATGATTTAAGGCAATTTTCTTCTAATTTACAGTCAGGCAATGGAATATATCTGTCTTGTGAGAATCAAAAATATTAATAACTCCCTTAGACACAATTTGGAAGCAAATGAATACTTCCATTTTTTTGGTGAATTTGATAGCGTTATTTTACTGTATGGAGATGAGCTCCATTAGCAGAACACATGAATTAAAACAGAAGCAGCTTATTTGCATTGTGGTTAACTGTTCTTGAGACAAGAAAGCTCATCTAGTTTTGAATATGTGGCAACGAAGATTATAAACAGTGCAATGGGGCTTAATCTTTGGGTTTTATGTTTCTACAAAATGACTTTCATACAGAAACATTTTCTTCTTACCTACGGCTGAAATTTGTCACCATGGTAACCTTCTGAGTTTGGAGAGGTGGGATGCTCTAGGCAAATATGTGGCCATAACCTCAGAAATTGTTACCCAAATTGGGTTTCATTTCTCCTCTCTGTCTTTAACATCTGTGAGATTCTTACACACAGGACAGCTGGTCATGTAACTGGATCAGAGAGAGGCCATATGCATTTAAACTCTGTTTTCTTTCTTTGAAAGCAGCAGTCTTTGGGGCAATTTCCTCCCTTATTCAACTGGCTCCATCCTTCCCTGGCTGCAGCTTCAAGCCCGTTTGGCTCTGCAGGAACTGCCAGACTGTGCTCTGCTCCGATGTCTGCAGCGTCACCCACTGATGCTGGGGAAAAGCAGAAATCCTGAACTGGGGCCTCAGCAGCTCAGCATCGGGGAGCATACTGTTCATTTACTGGTCTCAATATACACATAGTTCTATTTTGTTTTCTTTGATGTACATGTCTAAGAGCAACTTGAGGCCTTAAACAGTTGAGGTTTTTTGGTGCTTTTTGGTTGGCTTTTTGTGTGTGTGTGTGTGTGTTTTCTGTTTGGTTGGTTGTTTTGTATTTTGAAGAGAAAATCCCCTCACACAAATGTGATTAAGATTTCTAAAAATGAAATTATTAAAGCCTTAGAGAACCCTTGACCACAATATTGTGTCAATGCAATATTATTTGAAGGACATGCCACCATCTTGATAATTTAACTTCTAATTTTAATTTTCCATTTATATGTCAAATTCCTATGCATTGCTTGCCCATGTCCTCTTTCTGGGTTTTAGGTTGTAATAAAATGGAGGAGTTTATGATTAAAACCCTGAAAAAAGGCTGTGCAGACTGAAGTTGCCATTAGTCAACTACTGACTCTGCCACTAACTCCAGAGATAACCATGACTGAGTCATTGCATGTCTTTCTGCCTGAGTTTGTAGACAACAGACACTCTGTCTTCTCCTTTTGCCTGTTGTGTGGGCATACAGTGTGGCAAGTGCTGGTGTCAGGGATGTTCTTAATCTGTGCAGTAGTGCCTTGATTTTATCTGAAGCTTCTTGGTATAGCTAATAAATAAACAGTGAATAAAAATGATTTAAGGGCATGGAATAAAAAGCAAAGTGTTGACCCTACCTGTTTGTTTGCTTTCTGATAAGCTCCTGGCCTGCCACAGGAGCTATCAGTAAATAAGGCCTTGCCATCGGGGTACACTCACTCCTTTCTTCTCCCCGTGACTGACATTTAAGACTTCTTTTCTTTCCCCTGGAGGGTGAGAGCAATCAAAAATATTCCTTCATATTAAGGCAGCATGTGGGCCAGCTCTGGCTTCTGTGCCTATCTTTGTTTTTTGTAGCCACCTGCTAATCTGAAGTACCTCACCCTTAACTAGGAAGATCAAGTTTAACAGCCTCAGAGCCATTGGCAGGCAGAGTGGAGAATCCTTCAGGGCAGTTTGAGTGCTAGGTCCACTTCTTGGCACCTAGCACATAAGGCTGAGCTGACTGTAAATATGTAGGCACCCACCACACTGCTATCCCAGTAGGGCCTGGGGACAGAGAGCAGAATTTTGGGGATTTTCAAAGGCAGAAGAATCTGAAGCACAAAAACTAGTTGTGTTCACAGGTTGCCATCCAGCATCTCACTTCCTTTACACCATCTTCTCCTCTCTTTGTCAAGAGCAACACAGCATGAAAGGGGAGAAAGATGTGCTGAGGCTGCAGTAAACTCTCAGTGTTTCCTACCCCCTTTACCCCCTTCTGCTGTGCACGCATCTCCTTTCATCTTGTTTTGAGTGGAGCAGTGGATCACAGACTGTTACTAGGAAAAGGACCTCGCCATTGTAGACCCATCTCCCAGATTACCAACATCCCTTGCATCTGCACAACTGGGTAGGGAAATTAATAAGAACGTGTTTTTCATTGAGAGATTTTTGGAGACACCTTCCTATCAAGATGTAGTATCTGATTATAAAATGGCTCCCTCCAAAGGGAGTATCTCCCAATCAACTTCTCCAAAATTTACGCAGGGAGGAAGGGGAAAAGCAATGATTTCAAATCGTCTGAACTCTTTTTCAAGTCGCTTAAATTGTTTGCAGGCTCAGACTAGCATGGGGGATGAGTGGAGGTTGTGCTGGGTGCCTGTTGCATTCAAATAAATTGCTCCTCTTCCCAGAGCCCCATCTCTTATGTGCAGCCAAATCATGTGTGTTTGCAGGAGACAGTATGCTTGTGTTTCTCCCACGACCCTGCTGGCTCATTAGTGTTATTTCTGGAGGTCTAGTTTCCACAGTAACAAGCAATTACCATTGTTCCTTGGACTGCCAAAGTTACCACCAGCAACGCAGAGGAAGATGCGTTATTCTCTATATTGGGATAAAATGCCTTCATATGGCTTGCTATTCACTGAATGCCAATCTTGACGCAGGTCCTGTGCAAATAGCACACTCCACCCCCTGCCAATGCTGCTTTTCCTGGTATTAAGACATGCCAAATTCTGAAACGATCCAAAATGATCTGCTCTGGTCTGTGGCTACACTGGCAACGACAGGGTCAGGATTTCAGCAGCAGGATGACTGTACCAATGGTAGCTTGGGTAGGAATATAAATAGAATAGCTTGGAGGCAGTTCTTTTTTGCAATTGTGCTCAGCCCTGTTCTAAGTAATGCTGGCTAGTGACGTCAATGAAATATACTCTCTGTCTTTACCCTATAGCTTCTATCAGAACTGTGGTGGAGCTCCCACATAGGAGTCTGGTGGTCTTATGCTAGCAGCATCTGTGTCTGTATTGCACAGCCCTTCATCATCCCCAAGGGGCAATGTGTGTGGCATCAGCTCCACCCATTTCTTCCATCAGTGGTTTCTCCTTTCCCTTTTACCTATACCTCGCACACAGACTGATATCAGCTAGAATGGCCTTTAAACCCCATAGAACATATCCTGAATGTCATGCACATATCAAAAGAGTAAGCATCTGTGAAGCTGAAGGAATATGGGCTTTTGAAGGCTAGAGAAGTGGGGTACTGTAACGCTGGGGCCACTGGATTAGGTTTCATGGCTTGGAGAGCTTTTATGGCTTTCAGTGATTCCAGTTTCCAAGTGTGACTACATATTCCTAAAAGCTCTGGGGCCCCATTGTAAGCTCTGAGCTCCTCTTCACAGACTTTTCTTATGAATGGGTGTATCTATGGATCTACACATACACACCCACTTGCCCAAATGACTAATAGCAGGTTTGGGAGGGAGAACACAGCCTTTAGCCTCCATAAACCAAAGCACGAAGAGTCTTGCTCCAAGGAAGCTGAAGCAAAGAGATCAAGAGAGGCATTTTAAAACTGAGGAACTGCCTTTTGTGAAAGGTCTTGGAAACACCTGCACTAGAGATTTTTAAAACCTGGACTTACCAGAGAAGGTAGAAGACAGTATCCTATCAGGTCACTGTATGAGTGTTAGGAGGGTGACAACAAATAAAAAAGGTGCTGCTTTGACAGCTACCAAAACTGTACTGCTTCAGACGCCCTTGAGGAAATAAAAATTCAACAGTAAACATACTGTCTTTCAGTGGGTTGAAGAAAGGGATAGGCAGAGACAATTAGTGATAGGGTCCTTGATTCTTTTTTCTGAATAAAGTCCCACCAAGTCTGTAAAATGAAGGTGGAAGAAGAAGTCAAACGTGATTGGAAAAAAAAGGCCTGTATGTTGCATATCTGTTCTAGAAGACAGACCTAATTTATAAGTATCTCTTAATTAGTAGGACTGAAGTGTTAGAAACTCATTCAGTTTTCTTGTGGGCTTACCATTGAGTGAAGGCGTCATCAGAGAAAGGTTAAGAAAATATCCTTGGGCATATGGGAGTGATCCTACCTAACCCAGCAAGCTTCTCTTCTCCTCTTTTCTGTTGCATCCTCCTAAACCTTTGGATTTTAGCACAGTCTGTATGATGGTGAAAAAAATAAATAAATTTTAATAACCTTATTTTCCACACATAAACCAGAATCTGGTGTTTAGTTCTAGGTGACAGCTTGGGTGGTTCATAATGAGCCGAGGCTTGGCTTGGTATTTTAAGGAAAATATTCCCATCTCAAAAATAACCCAAGCCTTTGCTCTTTATCTGTGAGCTCCAGGGCACCCACTGGCATCCCACCCTTGCGGTGGGGTGGTGTGCCGAGCTGGCCGACAGACACTAGGTGGAAGCCTTGGGCTGCGGTTCCATCGGAGCTGCTGACGGCAGGAAGAAGAGGACTTGTGCTTTCAGAAAGGAGATATTTTTCTTTTCTTCTTGCATTCACATACTAGAAAGGGAACTCCAAGCTCTCCAGGTGCACAGTGGAGTGAACGGAGGAATGGAGGAGAAGTGTCAGTCTCATCCCGGGTCCTCCCTGCAACAGGATCTTGTGAGCAGGGCTTCGGTGGGAGCATTGAAGCCTTCTGAGTTCTTGGGTGTGGTTGGGTGGCAAGAATGATTTAATTTATCCTGCTTTATTTTATCCTCCTTTATATATTCTGATGGGGATAATTTTGAGATCCCTGTGAATGCATAAAAAAGTATTAATATTGAGATGAAAGTGAGTACTGATGAGCTGATTTATCTTGCAACAAATGCTGGTAGAACCAGCTCCTATGAAGTGCATGCTGTATTTATGATGATTGCTTTTGACAAGGCCTCCAATCTTAAAACTATTCCAAATAGGGAGATTTAGAGTTAGTACAAAGAATGAATCACAGTTTAAGTGAGAACCAGATGAAACTTGAAATGTTCATTTGAGAGAAATGTCAAAGTTTATGATTTTAAGGCTTCTTGTGACTTTTAGTGATAAAAATACTGTTTTCAGTGTATTCCTATGCAAGAAAAATTATGAACAAATCAATTAGGTACTTTTAGAAAAATAACTGCTATTTTTTTTGAAAATCAGTTTAATTTTGGTACCATTTCACGTATCAGTTGTAATGCAGAGTTAGGTTATGCCAAGTCAAGTCTCATATGAGGGCACGTTATGCAATCCTACCAGCAATATAGCATACCATGAATATAATAGCTAAATATTCTGTTATATAATTTAGTACAGGTGATATTTTATTTTCAAAACTAGTCATTTTTTACCAATTAATGGTATCAAAAGCGATAGCAGCTTTATTAGTCTGTGCTGAAACAATTTAGATTTTTACACTCTGAAACAGAAATGGGTACTAGTTAGGGACCAATTGTTTTTAATATCCTAGAAACCTGATTCCATGCTAATGGCAGAATGCTGAACATATTAGTGTCTCTCATTATTAACTGAAGAATGTAAAAACAATACAAACATAAAATATGGTAATATTTTATCAGAAAATAAGAGGTTTGCTTTCAAAATTAGTATTTTAATTAGAAAGAAAATCTGGCATTTTTTTTCTTTAAGGGAAACTTTTCAATGCTGAAATTTATATTTCAGCCTCCTTTTTCATAGGGATTTTTCATTTGTATTTATAATTTTTTGAAAAATGTTGATTTTATCAAAATGGTATTTTCTGGTTGAAGACTCTTTCAATTAAAATCTTCTCACTAGTGTGAGCTATTATGATGCTCTCCTCCTCCACCCTCTGAGCTGTGGTAAAAGGGTGAGGGAAGTTATTGATTTATCTTTTTTTTTTATTTTTTTAGTGCAATGACTTCAAGAGCTCCATGGCTGTTCTGCAGACAGATGCACAATTGTGAAACATCAATATGGACTGCAAATCTCTACTGTCAGTCAGCTCCTCTTCCCCTCTGCATAACATAATCCCTATCTCCACAATGCCTGCACAGATACACACTTGCAAAGATGTTTTTCTGGCGATAGTGTGCATGGCAAACATTCCCTTACTTGTTCTCATCTCTAGCAACATTATATGGAGTTTCAGTTCACAGTTCACTGTGTTCCCCCTCCTACCACTGAAATGCAGCCAACTCCGAGCTGCGGCTATTAAACATCACACGAGCAACACCACAAAACAGATTGTGAAAAGCAAAGGAATTCAGAGAAAAGCAACACATTGAATGAGGTCTGCAAGGGTTGTCTGGAAAGTGATAACAAAGGATCATAGGGAATGAGTTAATCGTGATGCAGAATAGCCCTTACCATGACATTCAGGTGATACCAGTATGCAAGGGTGAGTTTTTGAGGGTGGCACAAAGAGATGTCACTAGGAACAACCAGGTTTCAGCCAGGGAGACAAGCAGGTCAGCTTTCCTAACCACTGAGTTTTGTCAGACTGCCAGAGTCCCAAAGAAAGGGCTGCAGGCATCATTGCTTGAGGGTTTTAAAACAGTTACTAGTTTCAAGACAGGATAAGGCACTATCAGGACAGATGAATAAAACGAGGTAGAGCAAGTAGCCGTACCTATCCCCACTTTGTATGAGTCTGAGAAAACAGTTGGGAGAAAGATGGCAAGGTCTTAAGAAATCACATGTACAGAGTTAGAAAACTGTGTGAACTGGCTTGACAGTAGCTGTGACATGGCCAGGGAAGAGCTTCCAAAGACAGTTCTCTTCTTTGACAACATGATGACCTTAGAGTGAGACAGGAAGAAAAAGAGGAAGATGTGCAGTGAATCAGAGGAAAGAGAAATGTGTGTGAATGTATGTAGCTGTTTGTGTGTGCGTGTAGCACAACAGGAATTTCATTCAGATAGAATAAAGCATTGTAGGTGTCTGTATCTTATTTTCATTAGACTAAAGGCTGCAAGAGGGCACCTTGGCACAAAACCTGCATGTGAATTCTTGCTGCTTTAGGTAAAATCATGAGTGGGGAAGGTTGCCAGATGCTGTCACTGAGCATTCAGTGGACAACTAAAAAGCAACTGCAAAAGTCTGTTCCCAACTCAAGTTGCATAGCAACACTAAATCGTCAGATTGCTGTTATGTCAGTCCCTTGCATTATCCCCATTATTACAGCCGTTTTTAGGAATCACGCAATATGATGTTACTAGCCCACTCCCAAGCTGGATGTTTGACCTTTGTCTCTTGCTGAATGATGCCATGTAATTTGCTGCAAAGGTGTCTTGAAGTAGTACACTGGAGAGCAAAATCCCTGAGGATCCATCAACAGAGACCTTAGGGAGCAAAGGATGTGCTTGTGCAGGATGGAACAGGAGAGACATGTTAGGGAACAGCAGTATCCTTAGAGAAATCTAGTGCCTGCCAAACTCGTCAGGATGTATGTTACCCCATCACTTCTCTGAAGTGAGTCTTCATTGATCCAATTGGAAGGCTATTTTGAGGAGTGAGCCACAGTTGCTCCTAAGATACGTGTTTCAAATGCTTCCAGTGCACACTTGTGCTTGGTGTTTGGATCACTCCTGTGGACATTACTGCTGTGAAATCCTAAGTTCCAGCCAGCTGTTTCTTGCTTTTCAAGGTAAGCACCTTGTGAGCTGTTTCCTGGTGGAGATGCTGAAGCACAAAGTAGTCACAACATAATCATCCTGTGATGTTTCCGACACTGACGGTATCTGAAACAATACCTAGAAGTCTGCTTGTCTTGTAGGATATTTCTAGTATCCTGCATAATTTCTTTCCTGGATGTCTTGTGTAGCACAGCATCCTCTTCCCTTTTTCACTCTGTGGCTGCTTCTTTTACTGGCATAAGATCCTGAAATGCCCCTGCCATCTCTATGCAGTCAGGGTCACTGAATACCAAGGTGTAGCTGGAGTTTGAAGGATGCAAATAAACTAAATGAGCTCCTTTTCTGCAAACATCAGACTAACATGGACTTAGGACACCAGGTAGAGTGAAAACTAACTTACAGGCCTCTTGCACTAGATGATGGGAAGAGGCCTGCTTAAGCAACTAATTCTCAGTAATGTATCTCCTTTGTGAAGAGTGCCTGGTTGTAAACTATACTAGCATTTACAAGATCACCACTGCAAATTATAAACAAGCAAACAGACCTCAGAAGGACAAGATAGACTGTCCCCTCTATATAGAGTAATGGAATTATTCTGCTTCATTAAAACAACTGATGAGAAAACAAAGAGCCTCAAGATTCAGTTCCTCTGTGTTTCTGTGCCTAGAATGCAGAGTGCACTAATGGCAGAACACCTGGACTAGGAGCCGCAAGTCCCTCTTGCTTGATATTAAGGGGATTGAGCTCAGACAAGGTCTAATACAGCAGATGATAAATGTCCATGCATGACATCACTAAAAGAGATCTGATGGCCATGGAGTTACCCTTGACAAAGGAACATCTCTTGAATGCAAAATAGCTTAGCAATCCTTACAAAGACGGAATAAAAGCTCTTTGTCTGATTTTCACCTTTCTTCCCTTTATTACTCCCATGAACAAGAACTGCTGGATGGGATACTCCAAAGAGCTTACTTCTCCAGGAGAGAGTCTCCTTCTCTTTTTCTGTACGTTAGATTTATCTTGCTTCCCCCTGAGGGCGAGGAATTTGATATCATAAGTGAGACAGCAGGTGTAGGAGTGGTTACTGGTACACACCAGCTTTGTAGCTCAGTCATCCTGAGGCCCACTTTAAGGAAGGATTTATCCAAGGACCCTGCAGAACAAGTAGACTTTGATGCCCTGTAGCTGCTCCATATGTATTTGACAGCCCTGGTAGTTTAGTGGTCAGTACTGAATTTTAGGATGTGTCAGCCAGACTGAAGAGTTTTGTGTCTCTTTGTTCCTTGCTGGCATGGACTGTCTGGAAGTACAGATACAAGAGACTGTTCCATGGGGCTGATTGATGTTTGATAATTGTTATGCCTTTCTCGTTTTAACTTGGACATCTAGTTTATGGTGGAGATAGAGCTGAGGGTCCCCACTGATGAGTGAGAATTCTTTTGTCAGACCTCTGGAAGATTTCTCTCCATGTATCTCTATCAGTTTCAGTCTGTATGTGTTACCAAGTACCATCTTTGCAGTGCTTCAGCTTTATTTGACAATCTGAGTTTCCTGTGGCTTTTTGAGGATAAGATTTGCAGGTTAAAATGTGCTGAATAAGGACAAATGAGAAATGCAAAAGAAGTGAAAACAGTCAGGTTTTAAAGAAAATCATCTTTTGTCAGCATTGTTTGCATGTGTGCTCATTTCTTATAAACATTCAAAGGCTCAAGTTTCCTGTTGCTAGTATATGTGGAAAACAAATGTCAAGACTGCTGCATATGAATACTTTCCATAAATTAATATTAAATGTGCAGACAGATTTCATCTCAAAGTGGTTGTACACTCCTCTTGTCAGAAAGCAGAATAAATAATGATCAAAATCACCACCTAGAGCTGGTGATTTCTATCTGTAGATATGAAAATGCTCTACAAGGAAGGTCAAGATCATAGCCTGCAATTTTACAAATGGGACATACTTCCTCAGTAAAGCTACTTGTCTGGTAGTCACAGAGCTTCCACCTCTCTAATGAACCTGCAGGGGCAAGTGCAGATGCACATTTGGTTATTTTCTCTTCCGTCCTTGACTGCCTTTTTTAAAAGAAGTCATTTACCCTTTCATTTATGGCTCAGGACGTGAGTCTGTCCATCACAGAATCAACTAGGTTAGAAAAGACCTCTGAGATCATCGAGTCCAACCTATGACTGAATGCCATAATGTCAACTAGACCGTGGCACTGAGTGCAACATCCAATCTTTCCTTAAACACTGCCAGGGACGGTGACTCCACCACCTCCCTGGGCATACCATTCCGATGTCCAATCACCCTTTCTGTGAAGAAATTCTTGCTAATGTCCAACCTAAACCTCCCCTGGTGCAGCTAAAGACTGTGGCCTCTTGTCCTATTGCTCGTTGCCTGGGAGAAGAGACTGACCCCCATCTGGCTACAGCCTCCTTTCGGGGAGTTGGAGACTGATGAGGTCTCCCCTGAGCTCTCCAGGCTAAGCTACACTTGCTCCCTTAGCTACTCCTTATAAGACTTGTACTCCAGACACTTCACCAGCCTTGTTGCTTTTCTCTGCACGTGCTTCAGCACCTCAACAACCCTCCTAAACTTAGGGGCCCTGAAATGGACACGGTACTTGATGTGCGGCTGAACCAGTGCTATGTACAGGGGAAGAATCACCTCCCTAGTCCTGCTGGCCACACTACTCCTGGTACAGGTCAGAATCACCAGCCAGCACAGGCTGTCATCCATCCTCTCTGTGCATGTATGCTTACTGGCATGTATTTTCTCTGTCTCTTTGCCAAGGAGGAACTTAAGGCCTTGCAAGTGTGCCTTGCTGCTTTCCTTCAGGTCACCTCTGCTTCTGCCTTCAGTGCCCCTCACTGTAAAGGATCTTTTCTCCCCTGCATCATTTTTGGGCTGGCCTCCTTCAGCAAATTTTCTGGCAGAAGAGTCCTGATTGTGTGTTTGTGTATTCTGTACCTCTCCTACTCTCCTTGTCCTGTTCTCAGGGCTCTCTCATCTTCCAGGGTGGTCAGAGGAAAATTCGTAGTTCTGAGTCCTCTCTGCTTTCTTTTGTGGGTTTTCATCCTGACAGTCCCCCAGACTGTGCAGAGATGCAGGAGGGTTATAAGGTGTGTTGTTTCCTGCCAGGGCAGATTTTGATAATGGGTTTTACAAGGTTGCCTAGGAGGATGAGCTTGGTAGTGGCTTCAAGAAATGAAAATTAATCAGAAGGAACTTGATCAAAATGTCTAAAGTAACATGTATCAGAAGAGGTCTTGTCTGGAACACCTTTTCTTTGTGTCTTTCCAGAAACTAGCAAAGAGCAATTCAGAGAAAAATTGGCAAATACAGTACTCAGCTACTTCACACAGTGATAATTAAACTATGAGGCACATTGCTACTGTGTGTTCTGGAGACCACAAACTAAAGTAGAAAATCCCAGTAGCTCTGTGGAATAAGCCACTTTCCAGATTCCTAGGAATTAAAATGCTTATTGAGCTACCCTGTACAACTTCTTTTCAAGGGCTCTGAGGACACCACCAGCCCCAACTGTCCCTGCTCAGCATCTCCCGGGGCTCCTCCCACCATGCCCAGCTGCCCAGAACCTTTGCCCAGCGATTCTGTATCAGGGCTGCTCTCCGGCTCCAACAGCCCTGCCCTGCCTGATCATTGTCTCGCTGCATCAGAGAGGTACCTGATGCTGAGGGATGGGTTTGCTCCTGGTAACCCCCAGATGCCCTGCTCCTCAGCTGGGCTGTAGGGATGTCTCTGGGGAGCCCCCAGCCTTCCTAGGGCCCTGGCACTTCTTACACAGTTTAGTGTGGACATTACTAGAGTGTTGGCTGCATCCTATCTACTTTATTTGTGTAATTTCACTTAAGCCCTCTAAAGTATATACCATCACATACCATAGCCAGTAACATTTTTAAAGTGGATAATTCTCTCCCAATATACTGCTTTTATCTATAGCAAGTGTTACTGCCTACCAGGAT